CGGAGGCGATGACTGGGCATACGTAACACATGTCCTAACCATCTCAGTCTTTGTAGCTTCACGACTTCGTCGATAGATTTCCCCTGTTTACCTAGAACTCTACGCCTAACCTCCATGTTGCTCACCTTATTATGCCACTTTACACGGGAAATAGAACGCAGGCACCTATGATCAAAGACAGCTAGTCTTTTCATGTCTTCCACTCTCAGTGACCAGGTCTCACAACCATAAAGGAGGACGGAGCGGACTGATGAGCAGTACACCCGCCCTTTGGTCGATAGTCGAACATCTCGTCTACGCCAGAGTCGGCGTAAACTAACAAATGCGAAACGAGCCCCTTGTATTCGTGCTGAGATTTCGTCAGAGATCAGCCCGTTGGGGCTGATGGTACTTCCCAAATAAGTGAAGCGGTCAACGTGCTCTACCACTTCACTTCCTATTTTTAAACTAGGCGTCGATGTAGTCCAGTCCTGTAACATCATCTTGCATTTGGCGGGAGCGAATCGCATGCCAAACATTCGTAGATTGCGGCTCAAGGTGTTTAGAAGACTCTGCATTTCGTCAGCGTCTTCGCCTAGAAGGACTATATCGTCTGCATATTCCAAGTCAACGAGATTATTCCCTGGTAGCAAGTCAATCCCTGAGTCACTGAAGTCACCTAGGGTTAAGTCCATTAACACATCTATGATGAAGTTGAATAGAAAAGGAGATAATGGGCATCCTTGACGGACACCACTGGTCGTCATCAGTTCAGATGACAGCTCGCCGTAAGCCCTCACCTGGCTGTATGAGTACGAGTAGAGTGCCTTAATCAGTGCAATATATTTTCTTGGAATTCCCTTTACAGCCAAGCATCTCCAGAGAACTTCCCGATCGACAGAGTCGAATGCTGCCTTTAGGTCAAGAAATATAATGACTGTTGGACGCCGGTAGGAATGACTATGTTCTAGAATCTGTCGGAGGGTGAAGATATGATCAATACACCCTCTTCCTGGTCTAAAGCCTGCCTGGCTCTCTCGTGTTTGTGCCTCCCGAGCACCACTCAGTCTACGCATGATTATTGAGCCTAAGACTTTAGATACTATATTAGTCAAGCTAATCCCTCTGTGTTTATCACAGGAAGACTTGTCTCCCTTCTTGTATATGGGGATAATCAGTGACTTACACCAACCCGATGGGACTTCTTCTGATTCCCAGACGCTGCCTAGTACCTCAGTTAATCCGGACAGTAAGCTGTCTCCACCGTACTTAAATACCTCTGGAGTCATTCCATCAGGTCCCGCCGCTTTGCCTAGTTTCAGATTGGTAACAGCTTTAGTAACCTCAGTTGAGGAAGGGAGACCTGTGTTTATATCCCATTCAGGGAGGTGTTGGATGCTCGGAAGGTTGAGCGTGGCTGTGGGCAAATTAAACTGCTCCTCATAATGCTCTTTCCAACGATCCAGTCGTCTATCCTGTGAGCTAATTATAGTGCCATTTTTTTCCGAGATTGTCTCACTGATGATGACACCTGGTCTTTTATTTATTCATATTCATATGTCATATGTGTGTGTAGTCAAATACGTGCACAACTCACATGGAGTCGGTTTAATAATTGTTTAGAATTCTGACTAGTGGTATAAAGATAGGCCGTTGTTGGTATTTTAGCAGACTCTTGTAACAAATTTATTCTTCATTGTATCATTACCAAAAACAAAAAGAAAGATGTCTGTGAAGGAAATCCTGTTGTCAACGATTTCCATGTGTACAGTTATAGCGTTATTTGTATCATTGTCAGTATTGTCGTATTTATAATATATGTGGAATAAAATAGGTAATAACAAGTATACTTATGTATGTTAGAATTTGACAATGAGTGGAGGTATCAGAGATGGATTATAAACCTACCAAATGTATAAGTGAAAATTAGTCAGATTGGTCAATTTATTTGATATGAATAGACAGATGTAAGGAATACTTTCTATTCGAAGAAACATGTAAGCTTATCAGGTCTTATGTAATGATAAATCTTACTTTGTTAACGAAATCCTTTCATGCGTCGATAGATTGCAAAATAATGTCCATATAGCATTAAATGTTCTGACAGTAGATGTTAGATTAGAAACTTAAGTCTGTATTAGTTATTAGCAGTGATTGCTTGCAAACATTCAAATGTTTTTCGGAGACTTTTCTGAGTTGGTGACGTTTGAAGGGCGTGTCAGCTTCCTAAGATGTGAAAAGTCCATTGTAAATTATACTTCTTGCTGAGTAGAGATTATTTACTTAACAATTTCTGGTGTAAATAAGGATTGGTGATTTGAGTCATACACGGAGGATCAGTGAATGTAATGAAGTGAGTATTTTACTATTTCGGATCCATATCTATTTCCGTTTTAGTCAGTACACATCTTGACAGGTGACAAGATTTTCAAGCGTTGGTGTTTGCATGCATTTCATGGGCTTCATGTTAGACCTTGAAGGTGGGATATTGGATCCAATCTTGATAGCTGGATGACTGACTGTTTCTCTCTGTAACCTGAAGATCTTGAGTTTGATATCTGGTGGGGTGTTGATGATAAGTCGCAAATTATTTATTTTATTCTCTATTTCTGATTACAGCTTGATTCCACACCGTATTTTCGGTACAAGTATGGGATTTTCAGCTTGTGATATCGGTAGCCCAAATTTTGCAGGCCGACCAGAGATATCAGGTGTGCGTCGGCAGGGGATCGAACCTCGGACCATGTGCATGGTCGGCGAGAGTCCTAACCACTGTGCCACCGACGTACGAAACAGCTGGCTAGGACTCCCTGGTTTCCATTAATTCTGTAACCAATCTCAGTTTATGATGTACCTTGAAAGCTTTCTTTAATGACAAAATATTTTGTTACAACCTACGAAGCAGCTCAAAGTACGGAAATTAACAAGAATGGAGGGTATAGTTTTAGATTCAGCATGTCTTTAGGTGCCTTAAACATCAATAGTGAGATCTAAGATTATACAGTTTTGGGAAATGGATATGAGATACAAATAGGGAAATGTTTATTACCACACTTAAGATGTAGTAGAAAAAAAGGAAAAAAAGGTATGGGAGTGAATAAGTTCACGAGAATCTAGAGGAGTGCGAAGTTTGGGATCGATAGAAAATAGACAGGTAAATGGCTTTTGAAGTGCTGAAAGTAGTGGAATAATCTAGTTGACTTAGAATATGCAGATGATACAGTCCTTCTAGGTAAAGAAGCTGACAAAATGCAGAGTCTTCTGAACACCTTGAGCTGCAATCTGGGAATGTTTGGCATGCGTTTTGTGCGATGATGCTACAGGACTGGACTACACTGACTTCTAGCTTAGAGATAGAGAGTGAAGTGGTTGGTGGGGTGTGTTGACCACTTCACTTATTTCAGAAGTTGCGTCAGCTAACACCAGCGGAGTGATCGCTGACGAAATCTCAGCACGGATACAAAAGGCTCGTTTCGCATATGCCAGTTTACGCCATCTCTTGCGTAGACGTGATATCCGACTATAAGTATAAAACTTGGGCACTGTGTTAGAGTATAACTCCATTATGGATAAGAATTTATTTTGCTAAACCACACAGTGTTATACAGCAATATTAAGTGATGACATTTCGAGCGCCGGCTGGCTATCGACCAAAGGGCGTGTGTACTACTCAGCAGTCGGCTCCGTCCTTCTTTACGGCTGGGTGTGAGACATGGCCATTGAAAGTGGAATACATGGAAAGGTTGGCTAGCTGTCTTTGATCATAGGTGCTTGCGTTCTATCTCCCATGTGAAGTGGTATAATGGGGTGAGCAATATTGAGGTTAGGCGTTGAGTACTAGGTTAGTGGGAATGGAAATCAATCGACGAGGCTGTGAAGTTACATCGACTGAGATGGTTAGGATATGTGTTACGCATGCATAGCCATCACCTTCCTCGACGGGCAATGTTAGCTGACATAGGTTCAGGTTGGAGGGTAGATAGTAACATCAATCAATGAAATCCACAAGAGTTAGTTTAAACTGACCACGTAGGAAGGTGTAGACTTCCTGGTTGGGGTCCTCAGTACGGTAAAAGCCAATGAAGGCTGGAAACAGTTGGTGATATGGCTCAAAGTGATCGTTCTCAATGACTGGCTCAGATGCATCCATTCCTTGTGACTTATAATACCCAATAAAACAATATAATTCTTCGACATTACTCTTCTTTTGCCTCATATCTCTGTTTACTGTCTCTATTTTGCATTCCTTTTTACTTTCTTCTATTGTTTTGTGTGCTACATAGAGTGTGGCGACTTGAACTTCTGCTCATTGGTGCAAAGTTCTACACTGAAACCAGTCAGGATCGTGGGTGCGTACTGGTGAAGAGTTATAAACTAGGGCAAAGTATCTGTGTAGTACTCCCAGGTTTTCGGTAGTTCTCTAAATAAAAGCACACTTGAAACAAATCAAATCCCTACACAAAATAACTCCTGAAAGCTTGTGTTTTTATCATTGTTTAAAAAATGAGATACTTATTACAGCGAATTATGCATGAAGTAATACATAAATATACCTAGGCAGTATCGTTTCATCTATATGCGGCACAGATTGAGATGCCAAAACTAGGATGTGAAAAAGGTGAGACAGATTTTCACCAACAGTTGCTTCCTCTGGGTCATATACTGAAGATCCAATGACCGGAAATCACAAACAAAAAGGAAGTCTGTCAAGGAACTAACCAAGAACCTCAATAATATATACAGAAGAAAATAGAGATGGATTGGACAGACGCTCCATGCCATCAAGTGGGAACCGAATAGGAGATAACTAGTTGGGTGTGCTTTTGAGGGTAACATTTAAGAAGATTGTGTGAAGAGGAGATGACAGTTTATGAAAATCGTGGATCCAGCTGAAGAGGACTATAGAGAACAGGATGAAGTGGGGAGATGTAATGTTGAATGACTAAAATATGTCATACATCTTGGTCACGTGCTCCTAGATCGATCGATACACATGTCTACTTTAAAAATAATTATTATTAAACTCAGTTGATTATTTTTTAGTGAGCAGCGGAATTCTCCCTTCATATATTTATAAAAGGAACAATTTACATAGGAAAAATACGAATTGAATTAGTATAAATAGAAAATAACACATAAACAGGCAAACAAAAATGGCAAGGATAACTGTAGATGATATACAAAAGCAGATATGTATGACAGAACACATCATGAAAGAGGAGACAACAGCTTTAAATTTCTTTCTAAATAATATGGATAGATATTTAGCAAAATCAGGTGTTTCTGCAGTATTGAGAAAACGTTTAGAAGAAATGCATATTGACAATGATCGTTGTTATAAATTGTTAAAGGAAGCTGAACAACGTGTAAAAGACAAGAGAATAGAAGAAGAACAAAAAAAGCAACAAAGACAATGTGTACTGATGTCAGATGAAGAGTTATCTAAAGAACTTGATATGCGACCTGCTTCACCACAAACTATGGCATTACTTTATGAAGGGACTTCACATGAAGGTAAAGGCAGGTGAGTGCTTAAAATGTAGGGTAGCTAGATAGAGTATTGTGTAAAGTGAAATGTTAGTTGATTGTTAAATCCATTATAACTGTCAGCATTAAGGTAATTTTATTATCTTTTGGTTGAAGGGAGTAGGTTAATGAGATGGTTGCTAAGTATTTATGTAATCCTCGGTGTCTAAGTTAATAGGCTGAATAGTCAGCGTTAACGCTTACATTAGTGGTTATTGTGTGTGTGAAGATCCACTTCCACCATGAAGGTGTAAACTGAAGCATCCGCTACTGTTTGTTTAATATCCACTTGACCAGGTAATTATTCTAAAGATATTTGTCCCATTGTAACGACAGAAGATACGAGAATTGGGAAGGGGCTATGTTTATTAAGGAAAAACGCATCATATTTATATATTTTTAACCACATTAAAAGTCAGCTAGGTTAGCAGACAACAGACTGTTCTAAATGGTTGGCGGTTGACCCAAGGTTAAACAACTAGACGAAAAGTTGCCCCATAAAGCTATTTTATGACCACAATGCAAACTAAATCCAGATTTGAGGAATAAACACTTCTACCTCTGCAGCCATTGACTAAAAATGCTGATTTCAACTTTTAGTAGCTTCCTATCCTTCCTATCTGCATCCATATAGCACACGTCACACCAGTAATAAAGATGCAAAAACAGAAAAGAATACTGACATCTCATCTCTAGAATGCTTCAATGCATTGAATTATTCCGCCTTTCTCAGTTTTATTGAATGGAGGATTTCATCATGAGCTGACATCATTTAGAGGACACTAGAAAACCTGGGGTACTGGGCAGCTGTTTCATCAGACTAGTTTGGGACTCTCAGCAGTACACCGCCACCGCCAGGTTCGAACCCAGGACCTTCTGGTTACAAGGTGAGCTAGCTCGTAGACCATTCAGCCACTGGAACTCGATCCAATGGCTAGCCCGTGAATTCTAACTTCTTCCACTTCACGACATAACGTGACCATTTCGCAATGTCTTCTTCGATGAGTTACTGCCTCATCTTCAACCTGCTGTACCCTACTCACTTTTGTTGTTGAATTTTTGAATCGAATCATAATTGTAGTTTTTCCTAACCTTCAGTCATTATTGAACTTGCATTAAGATTCGTATTCCAACTGGATTATTTGATATCATCTAATCATTAATTATGCGTTCCTTCTTTCTGGGTAACGTAAGATCGTCCACTTAAATAATATTTGTGGAAGTGGAGTAATAAAGCAATCCTTTGATAGTGCAAAGAGAACTCTTCTGACTTGAATCCTTATTTACTCATGTTAGAACGGTTGAGTTCATGTGTTTCCAAAGGTGATATATATAACGGTTTATATTCAGCTCCCAATGAGAAAGTCAACATGTGTATAAAATTAGTGTATGTGCAGTTGAGATATCTAGGATACGTGTTACACGTCCTGAGACACCTTTTCCCTTGACAACAATGTTAACTGAAGTCGAATTTGGTCTGAAAACATTAAGGAGTGGTTAGATTGAACCGTGATACCAAACTATGAAGTTATTGATTGTTAGTTTAAGTTGTATATGAATTTGTAGAAAGACTGACTAGGGTCATCATGATGCTAAGAATCAATAGTTGGGGACTTAGTGAAATGACTGCATGTTGTTTACCATGGTGCACATGTATTCACTACTTGCTTTCCCTCTAGTCATGGAATTCCTTGTTAGTCTTCACTTTCTATCCCGCTCATCTTCACATTTTCTATTGGATTGTGAAGTCAATTGACAGTCGTACAGGGCTAGTAGATATTTAATTAATTGATTCCAGCGAATTTACAAGAGCTTTTGGTGTAAGGATAATAATGGTTAATAGAAAAAAGTAGGTTAGGGAGTGAATAAAACATGTAGCCTAGAGAATTCTTAACGGTGAGTTTAACTTATTTCAAAGTAAATTTCATCTGGACCAGAGAAATATTTCAGTTATAGTTTGCAGTTATTTATGAGTAGTATAGTTACATTCAAGAAATTATTAATTAGATAACACCTTGTTAAGCACCAGAAATGATGAAGCTTTTTGTATTCGTGGCCTTCATTTGAACAGAAACTAAACATTCCCGTTGACTAAGAAACAATTTCAGTATGTTACTGGTAGAAATTCACAAACTCCCTTCACTATTAATGAGTTTTTATGGCTAAGGAAAAGTAACGAATTCGTTTTTATAAAAGTAAATCGTTCCATGATCCCTTTATCAAGTTGTATAGCTCTAGCCCATTTCTAATTTTCACGACTTCTCTACCTTATTTATAGAGATTTGAAAAATTCTCCTAACGATTGGCATCGTGTGAATAAATCGCTGAAGATCAAGAAACCTTGATAATGAATGTCTCGTACCAGTTAGAGAATCTTTTGTAGTATAGACACTTTATATGCTACTTTGTAGCTGAATATATAAGACTTTATATGTTACTTATCTAAAAGAGAGTTGAATAACCTAATCCATTTGATGATGTGGAAATTTAGTATGACAGTTTCATTCTTTATTGAACATCTTATGGAGTGGAGGTGTTCTTCACTCACCGATTTTAGGATTTCATCATGAGCTGACATTAGTCAGAGAACCATTGGAAAACCTGGGAGTACTGGACAGCTGTTTCGTCCTAGTTTTCACTGATTTTAATAAAAGAAGGTCTATCAGCTAAAGTCTTTTTAGTGAGAATAACTGTCCGTTTTCGATGAAATATTAATATGACTGTACAACCTGACAGTAAAGGTATTGCAAAGAAATATTTTTTCACTGAGTAAATTTGAATAGTCTACGAGCTCACCCTGCATCTGAAAGGTCCTGGGTTCGAGCCCTGGAGGAAGCATACTGCCGAAGAGTTCCAAAACAGGAGGAAAAAGCTGTCCAGTACTCTCTTGTTTTTTCTATGGTTCTGTGACAGCTTGTGTTTGTTTGATTAATCTATTTTAAAGTCCTTGCAACATAAGTTTAATCAGCAATTATCTTGTTAAGCAAGTTTCCCACATTTCACTAAAGAAACCATAAAGTGTAGTAGGAGTTAGTGTAATGAAATTAATGATTTAAAGACAAAACGAAGCACACTTTTTGTATTTCTTTCTACCTTAGAATTTTCAGTGTAATTAGTTCCAAACATGTACTTTGAAAGGCATTTACTGGGTACCTATTATGATATTATTATTATTCCCCTTGGTTCCGAGTGGGATATAGGGTTTCAACGGCACATTTCCGTCTCATCCTGTTCTCTGCACTCGTCTTTAGATGGCACCATGGCTCCTCCTCACATGGTCTCCTCTAAGCCATACTCAGACCCACGTTCAAATTGTCATTCATTTCAGGTTTCATCCTGTGACCTGGAGCGCGATGTCACTCATTGGTCTCCTCAGCGTATGTTCAAGGCATTCCCGTTTCTGTCGGTACATTTTTTATGGCAATAAGTTCTTGGTTGATTCGTTACAAGAGTTCATTCGTAGGTACTAGACTTTCATTCTTTCTTTTTCCATAGTCTTTTGTACAATTGGGAGTTGTTTACTGGAATTCTGTTCCTCCCGATGGTGAATTTAAGTGATGGTTCCATCACTTATTATCCAGTTCTACATTATTGAAAAAAAGACACATTGGTGTTTATGGTACACAGAAATATTTTTGTGAAGTATGAATCACTGAAATGTAGATATTGTTAATTCTAATATTCAAACAAATATATTCCAGTTAAAGTAATACTTAAAAATAAAATACAGAGAACAAATGACGATGTACAACCTTTAGAAGTATGCTGAATTATTATACAAAGATCTGAATCAAATTAGAAATCAATTTATAGAGTTCATTTTTTTAAGTATTTATTTTTTTTCTCTACCATCGGTTGGTTAAAACATAGTGTACTGAAATCCAAGTAAAAAACTAGTAATCCTGAAAGTTAGTTGTTGCTTCATTTTATCTTAAAGTGACTGAATAAAGAAAAACAACTGTTCCGTAAAGTATCATATCCTGTTTTCATGTTACCATAACCACCACGAATCATCAGTATCTCAAAATCAGCTAACAGAAGGCCCTGATTTATTCAAACAATAATGAAAGGGTTATAACTAATCACTACTTATTCAAGTTACACTGGTTCTTAATGCCAATAGCCAAATGCTTCTTATTTTATAAGTATACTTCTGCATGCTGTAGACTGCATAATTAAGCATGTCTTATAGGAGACTGATAGGCGACATTTTAAGTAATATGCTGAAAATGCTTTTACTGACGATCGTGACAAGTCTCTGATTCATAAAGTAACGCTGAGTTGACATTAGTGTGAAAAATTCGGATATTTGTTTGTTGGGTACTCAGTACACTAGATTATCAGCACGGATCTGAGAGTAATGAACAACCTATCTTGCTTTCCTAATCCTGTCTGGCTTTGATATCCTCATCCATGTCGTTTGTGTAGTTAAGACCATGATGCTTCGCCTAGGTAAGTCCAAGAGGAGATTTCTTTTAGATTTCACCCACACTGATGGTGACTAGTGTTCGTTATTGTTAGTTTGGATATTGTCATCACCTCTTTCTTCTCTATATTTACCTGAAGTTGTGTCTTCGGTGCTTCTTCTATCATTTTTTATATCTTCTAGTAAATATGAATAAATAAATACTTAAACAAAGTTAAATAGATGTTAAATTGAAAATTGATATTAAGCGCTACTTGAATTTTCAACATAGTGTTAGTGAATAAATTGTATACAAACCAGCTTGCCTTGTAACCGAAAGGTCATGGGTTCGAACCCTGGCAGTGGGTGTGTACGCCGATGATTCCCAAACTAGTCTGATAAAACAACTGTCCAGTACTCCACTACTCTGGCTGGTTTTCAATGCTTCTCTAACTGTGATATCAATCCGTGATCAACCTTTAAAGATAACACTTATCCTTACAAACCAACTATAGAGAAAATAATGTTAGTCGCTGATGATTGAACAATTGTACTTTTAGTCTGTTCACTGGTTAAGTATCTCATTAATAAAA